TGACAGTTCAAAAAGGGGTCCTGAAAATCCCACTACTCATCCCCCACCAACTACCTTTTTTAACAAAAGATTTACTTGTTATTTGCAAGTAAGAGTTACAGTTCTCAAGGAGAGAAGGAAGAGGAGACAGAATCTTCCATCTACTGGTTCACTCTCCACCGTGAACTGATCCAAAGCCAGGAGCTTCTTCTGGGTCTCCCACATGGGTGTAAGGGCTCAATCTCTTGGGCCATCATCTGCTTTCCCAGGCCATTAATAGGGAAGTGAATCAGAAGTGGAGCTGCCAAGACTGGAATTGGCGCCTATAATGGGATGCCTGTGTTGCAGACGGTAGCTTTACCTGCTATACCACAACGCCAGGCCCCCACCATTACTTTATAATATATTAACCTTTAGTTATCTTCAGTCATTTGTCTTTATCAGAAATCATTTACTTTCTTTTACTCATCCAAAATAAGTTCTGGCAAAGGTACTGAATTTGTATCTATATTTATTTTATTAAATTTTATTAAAGATGAAGAAAATGAGAAGGAAACTCAAAACAATTTTATTTTAAGTTTGATTACATTTAATATGATTAATATTAAGGGACAATCTATGAACTTTTTTCTTTCCCTATACTAGCTATATTTAAATGTTGCAACAATTATTTTAAAAATGATTCAAAACTTTTTAAAGATTAACATTTCAAATGAATAAAGAAAGATTATGGTAAAGGGATTTAATCTTTTTATATAACCGGAAGCCACCATAGGCAAATTGTTTACTTAGAAAGACTGTATAGCTTAGTCGAATTTAATCTGATTTGGAACATTCATCCTAGAAGATTAGTGGCTACATGACTATTAGTTCGTTTAGTTCTCTGGATTGTAAATTTAGTTTTCTATCAGTAAGAGAAGGGATTAGAACACTATGCCTGACTAAACAAAACGGCTTGACTTTCTTTGTTAAAATTTCGTAATCTTTCTTAACCTCTTTCTTCCTTACAATTTTTGGGAAGGCTTATAATTACTTGATTTCAGCGATATTTAGAGGAAGTGATGAAGACCTTTCTCACATCCCTCTCGCAACATTTGATGGGTAGGAAGACACTTGCCAAGTCTTGTTCCTCTGTGCTCGGAGATGCTGCTTCTGCAGAGGAAGGAGCTGCACTGGAACACGTTAGACCATATCTGCTGTTTCTAGCCAGGGAGCTCTGGTTTCCCAGTCGGTAGACCTTTCACAAAGTGTCATCAGGCTTGCGTCATTCTGTGACCTTGGCAATTGCTAAGAAAGAGGACACATGCTACTAGGGTAATGTCTGGTAATAGAAATTTGAGCTCAATGAGTCTCATGGTGAGAAAAAGTAAAGAAGTAGTGTATTTATTGTGTTTGTGGGTTTTATAAACATGCTTTTTACTCAAATGTTTTGTTTATGAGAAAAATGCAGAATAAAATATTTTCTGGAATGGTTGTATCTTAATTGGAATACCAAATTCTGTTTTAATCTCTCTGTGTATAAATAATCCAATTTGGTAAAACTCTTAGGAGCAGTGTTCATTAGGTAAATGTTAACACAAATCATGCCTTCCAATAAATTTCTTTTGTATGGAATATGTCATGGACTGTTTCAACTGCTCTTTGAACAAATATTGATCAGGAAAATAGATCCAATTCTCAGTGAAAATAATTATTTACCTAGGTGACCATTCCACTTGGATACTGCCATCTTTGACATCAGCTTACAAGCAATTAAATATACCATTGTTGGAGAGGTGAGTTGGATGAACTGATTAGCCACTTCTCAAGTGTGTTGTAGCTCATGGGTGGTTATATTGGTATATAATGGGATTATCTCTGAGTATTGTACTTTTATAAAAAATACATTTATTCATTAACCATTTCTTAGAAAGGAGAATTTTGATTTTAGGTATTATGAAAGTAAAATGGCTATCATTAGGACAAAGTTAATGAACAATATATTTTAATATTACACTGTAAGAATGAGTTCATAAAGACATTTTTGCTGTGAGAGAAATTCCCACTGTTTACAATGTGAAGTAACATGTTAAGTTGTATATTCCCTTTTTTCTAATGGCCAAATTTGAACTATTTTTGATAGAATAAAATAAAGTATTGTTTTGTGCTTTATTTGATTTCAAGAAAATGTTGCATAGAGATGCACTATTTGGTTTTGTTTGGCAGCAGTAACTTCTAAGATATTGTTGGGGGAACATGATATAGGAGTATTGATCAGCTTATATTAATTGATATTTATTTGGTCCCATTTCATATTTCATATAAGCAAGGACTTTTAACTTGAGTGTTTAATCTTCCTGATTTCTTTATGCTAAAAAGAAATGAGTTGATAAATCAAACCTTCTCTGAAGAGAATTGGGATATGTAACTGTGTTTTATTTTTATATATTCTAAATGTGACCATATCTTTAAACATGTAATGAAGATTAATGGTGTGTAAAATAATTCTTTTATATTACTTCCTGGGTATCCACTTTAAAGAAGTGTTCCAGATAAGTAAAATATATTAAACCCAACAAAAAAATGTGTATTTTAGACAGGCCAAGCCTCACAACTTTGAAAATGCTTTAGGACAAAATTTGGCAGCTTTTCCACATCCGTTATTTCCTCTGGTCACAGCTGTAACGTCACTTGGATGATTTGCATGAGCAGATTCCTAAAATTGATTTTCAGCCCGAGACTAATAGTCTGGTGTGAGACGAGTGGCCGCCTCGGGCCATAGTGACCCAGGTTTCCAGCAGACCTTTATCACTGAGCTCACATACTGCCAGGATGATTTCATTCTCTTGCTTAAAATTATTCTTTTGTGCTTTCAGTCTTCAGAATAATGCAAACTTCTAGGTGTTGTGCATAAAGAAATATATAGCTTGTCCCTGCCTACTTCTCTGGACCATTTTAAAGGCTATTTCACTATAGTAATGCTTGCACAGTTGAGATTATTATGCAAAATTCCATTACACAGTGAAGGTATTGTGTGTATCTTCTCTGCAACCCCTAGAAATTGTTTTGACTAGGTCATGTTTTTGAGGCTTTTCCTCTCTAGATTTCCTGTCTTTTCAGAAGTAAACTAATCATGAGAAAGAGTAAGGACAAAGGAGAGCAGAAGAGTTGTGTTTTTCTATTTGTTTTTGAAGGCTAATCTTTATCTAAAATTTTTATTTAGTTTTTATTTATTTGAAAGATAGAGAGACAGAGATATTCCATCTGCTGCTTCACTCCCTAAATGCCTGCAACAGCCAGGGCTGGACCAGGCCAATGTCAGGAGCCCGGAACTCAGTCCAAGTCTCCCACATGGGTGGCAGGGACACAAGTACTTGAGCCATTACCTTTTGCATCCCAGAACATTAGCAGGAAGCTGGAATTGGTAGCAGAACCAGGACTCAAATCAAGCACTTCAATATGGGATGCATGTGTCTCCAGTGGCATCTTAACCTCTGCTCCAGACATCTCCTTGGTTAATGTTTAAAAAAAAAAAGAGAAGGAAAATATGCCCCTTGGAACTATTGACTTTCTTCTTGGTGAAAAGAGAGCAAAGATATATTTAGAAAGAATCTTTGTACTGCAGTAGAATTTAGAAAGCCAGTGGAAGTCTTTCTCAATGTTCAAGTCAGAACAATTTACATAGAAAACATTTACTTATGTATGGGGTCAGGAGCATGCATGTGGACATGTGGTGACTTCAAACAGACCAATACATACACACTTCCATAGGTGTGTGTATACACACACACATACACACACACACATACTTTCTTTGTGCCTTCTGCAAACTTATTCTCATCTATAAAGCGTCATTAAATGGTGGTATTTCTATGCAGGCCTTTTCACAATTTTATTATTTCCTTTTACATTTTCCCCCAAGGAATACATAATATATCTAACTTAAAATGTTTCTAACTGTACTTTTACCAGCATGAAAAATGTGGTGTCTCTGTGTCTATGTAAATTAAAATCAAAGGATAGCTCATAAGCATGTGAATTCTAATCAGGAACCATTACCAGCCTGTTGCTAGTTCTATGCATCAAAATCCTGTGCCAGAATGTTGACAAATTAACTCAAATAAAACTAGAGATATCTTTAAGGCATGTGGTAGGCAAGAAAAAAACTGGTTATGCTTGCCTTTGCATTACTGGATAAGAACATGATGAGTAGAGTTGCGCAGCCATTTAGAGAGTAGTTCCTTAGCTCTAGAGACCATTCATACCCATTTTCATGTATCAGAGGATTTCTAGAAAAGGGGTTAAAAAATGTGTTGTGTGCCAGAATTTGATCTAAAATTTGCTGTCATTGGAGAATGTTTGACAGTAAGATTGCTGGGGTTGAGTGGATTCAGGGAGAAGCCTCAACTATTCTATTTTACATTGGAGATTAAAATATGACCCCAAAAGAACCAGATAATTGAAACATATATTGTCTTAGATATGTAACTATTGTTTATTTACAATCTTTATATTTAACTGTGTGATATTTCCTTTAAATTCCTCAACTAAAATGTTGCAAAAAATTATATTTATTTTCCAAATTGTACACATCACAGTAATAATACTTACTATTAATGGGCCCAGTTATCTTAGAGTCATTCTTAACACTTCTCTTTTACACAATACACAGTCAAGAAACACGATAAATTTTACCTCTCAAACATCCTGCATCTTTGATGTCTTTCTCAAGAACAGCATGTATTACCTATATTTTACTTGCTCTATTCCAAACCATTCATCTCATGGGAGCCAGCATCTTGGGTGAAGTACAAATATGACTATGTCACTACATATTGCATGCTTGTTAAAAAATTCCGTGTATCTTTGGATTTATATAAAAATCCTGAATTTGTTCTGTATTGCTGACACCATTAGCCTTCTATCTTCATTTTCATTTCACATCCTTGATTTTGTTTCTCTGCTCAGGAGTCTTGTTATTTTTATATAGTCATTTATTTTTAATTTTTTAATCATACTAACGTCCCTCCTCCATAGAACACTTTTTTTTTAAAGATTTTATTTATTTATTTGAGCAGTAGAGTTACAGACAGTGAGAGGAAGAGACAAAGGTCTTCCTTCCGTTGGTTCTCTCCCCAAGTGGCTGCCAACAGCCAGAGCTGTGCCGATCTGAAGCCAAGATCCAGGTGCTTCTTCCAGGTCTCCAATGCGGATGCAGGGGCCCACGCACTTGGGCCATCTTCTGCTGCTTTTCCAGGCCACAGCAGAGAGCTGGAATGGAAGAGGAGCAGCCGGGACTAGAACTGGTACCCATATGGGATGCCGGCACCACAGGTGGAGGATTAAACTACTGTGCATGGCACTGGCCTCAATAGAACACTTTTTCTTCAGAATAAAATCTGACGTTTCCTGTTTATGTTGATCATCACTTTTTTCACTTAAGATTGACCTACTTGATTAAGTTGAATTCCAGTGTGATAGGATACCATAGCACTGTGGGTGCTTTTTACATATCATCATTTTCCCTAGTACTAAGTGTTGTGTTGATACGTAATTGCTATCAATAAATAGATGAGTGGATAATACAAAACTTTGTTAAATGCATACAGTCTGCAACAGAGAAAAAAATAATATTAAAAGTACTTAATGTTGCAGCTTCAGGAGAGGAAAATCCTAAAAGTATTCCAGGGAGCTAGATGTAGTGGATTTATTTTTTTTTAAAGGAAGTTATCAATACATTCGTTTCTCAGGGTCACGGCAAAACACATGATAATCACGACAACACAATTCTCAACCATTCTCATATTAATGTGATATTAAGAAGAAGAGAACAGATTCAGTGTAGTTGATAGATACAATTCTCAGAATATAATGATATTTCCCTGACTCCATCCCCCACCCTCAGTCTCTCTCTTTTTTAGTTTTTGAGATTATTTATTTATTTATTTATTTTTTGGACAGGCAGAGTGGACAGTGAGAGAGAGAGAGAGAGAGAGAGAGAGAAAGGTCTTCCTTTTCCGTTGGTTCACCCCCCAATGGCCACTGCGGCTGGCACGCTATGGCTGGCACACCGCGCTGATCCGAAGCCAAGAGCCAGGTGCCTCTCCTGGTCTCCCATGCGGGTGCTGGGCCCAAGCACTTGGGCCATCCTCCACTGCACTCCTGGGCCACAGCAGAGAGCTGGACAGGAAGAGGAGCAACCGGGACAGAATCCGGCGTCCCACCCAGGACTAGAACCCGGTGTGCTGGCGCCGCAGGCAGAGGATTAGCCCACAGAGCTACGGCGGCACCGGCGAGATATTTTATTTTTGATTTACATTATAGTCAAAAGTATAAGGTAAAAAAGCTAGTTCAGTGGGAATATAGACAAGGCCTCAAAAAATAATTAAATGAAAAGATTTCATTCATACACAGTAAATTTTAAAATCATAGATCATTAGAATATAATATCATAGCATTATTGACCATTGGTTTGACAAATATAAAACAAGGTTTGACAAAATTATATTTACAGCAATACTGATATACACAGGCATTTCTCTCTTTTGATTTTTTTCTGTTTTAATTTTAGTTCTCGCATATATGGGAGTATATGAGGTGTTAATCTTTCTGTGTTCAGCTTTATTTTACTCTATCTGATGTTCTCCAATTGCATTCATTTTAATGAATATGGTGGAATGTCTTGCTTTATAGCTGAAAATAATCCATTGTATGTATGCATGTATATAAAAATATAACATGTTTTCTTTATCCATTCATCTCATGATGAGTACCTTGTTGATTCCATAATTTGGCTATTGTGAACTGTGCTGCTATAAACATGGTGGAGGTATCTCTTTGATGCAACATGTTCATGTCTTAGGTAAATACCCAGTAGTGGGAATGCTGAACTATATGGCAAGTCCATTTCTAAATTTTTAAGAAACTATCATACTGTTTTCCACAGTGACTGAACAAATTTAATTCCTACCAGCAGTGTAGAATTTCTGTTTTTCCACCACCTTACCAGCATTTGTACTTTCTGTATTTTAGATAATAGCCATTATGACAGAGGCAAGATGACATCTCCTTGTGGTTTTGATTTGCATTTCCCTGATGGTTAGTGATGTTGAGGATTTTTTTTTCATATAATTGTTAACCATTTGTGTTTCTTTTGAGAACTGTCTTTGAGATCCTTTGCCATTTCAGAATTGGATTGGTTGTTTTTGTTGTTGTTGTTGAATTTTTTGAGTTGCTGGTATATTCTGGTTATTAATCTTTTGTTTTTTTTTTTTAACTTTTATTTAATGAATATAAATTTCCAAAGTACAGAATATTGATTACAATGGCTTCCCCCCCATAACGTCCCTCCAACCCGCAACCCTCCCCTTATCCACTCCCTCTCCCCTTCCATTCATATCAAGATTCATTTTCGATTCTCTTTATATACAGAAGATCTGTTTAGCATACATTAAGTAAAGATTTCAACAGTTTGCTCCCACACAGAAACCTGTTTCTCACAGTGTCCATTTCACTTCAACAAGTTTCCCCTTTGGTGCTCAGTTAGTTGTCGCCAATCAGGGAGAACATATGATATTTGTCCCTTTGGGACTGGCTTAATTCACTCAGCATGATGTTTTCCAAATTCCTCCATCTTGTTGCAAATGACTGGGTTTCATTGTTTTTGACTGCTGTATAGTATTCTATAGAGTACATGTCCCATAATTTCTTTATCCAGTCTACGGTTGATGGGCATTTGGGTTGGTTCCAGGTCTTAGCTATTGTGAATTGAGCTGCAATAAACATTAATGTGCAGACAGCTTGTTTGTTTGTCAATTTAATTTCCTTTGGGTAAATTCCAAGGAGTGGGATGGCTGGGTTGAATGGTAGGGTTATATTCAGGTTTCTGAGGAATCTCCAAACTGACTTCCATAGTGGCTTAACCAGTTTGCATTCCCACCAACAGTGGGTTAGTGTCCCTTTTTGCCCACATCCTCTCCAGCATCTATTGTTGGTAGATTTCTGAATGTGAGCCATTCTAACTGGGGTGAGGTGGAACCTCATTGTGGTTTTGATTTGCATTTCCCTGATTGCTAGTGATCTTGAACATTTTTTCATGTGTCTGTTGGCCATTTGGATTTCCTCTTTTGAAAAATGTCTATTGAGGTCCTTGGCCCATCTCTTAAGTGGATTGTTTGTTTTGATCTTGTGGAGTTTCTTTTATTTATTTTTTTATTTTTATTTTTTATTTAATAAATGTGAATTTACAAAGAGCAACTTTTGCATTGCTGTGGCTCCTCCCACCCCCAACCTCCTTCCCTTCTGAAGAAGTCATTACTCTACAATAGTGTCTTAAAGTGTTTCTTCTACATTTTCTAACAGCAACTTCATAGCCTCCAGTCTTAAATTTAGATTCTTGATCCATTTTGAATTGATGTTTGTATATGGTGAGAGGTATTGCTCTAATTTCATTCATATATGTGTATATATATATATATATAATCTCCAGTTTGCCAGCACCATTAATTTAAGAGATTATCTTTTCTCCAATGTATTGCTTGTGTGATTTTGTCAAAAATCAGTTGGCTGTATGTACATGGATTAATTTCTGGGCTCTCTGTTCTTTTCCATTGTTCTGTGTTTTACTTTTTATGCCAGTACAATGCTATTTTAATTGCAATAGCTTTGTAGTCAGATAATGGGATAACTCCAGCTTGATTTTTTTTTTTCCTTTTGTACTCAGGATCACTTTGGCTATTTCTGGCTATTATTTTGTGATTTCATATGAATTTTAGGATTGTTTTTTCTAATTCTGTAAAGAATGTCAGATAGGAGTTGCATTGAATCTGTAGAATCCTTTAAGTAGTATAGACATTTTAATGATGTTGATTCTTCCAATCCATGACCAAGGAATATCTTTCAGGTTCTTTTGTGTGTGTGTGTGTGTTTGTGTCCTTACTGGTTTCTTTTATCTATGCTTTATAATTTTCATTATAGAGATCTTTAAATGCTTTGGTTAAATTGATTCCTAAATAACTTTTTGATGGGAGTGTTTAGGTTTTTTCCTTTTACAATAATATGTCTTCCACAAACAGATTTTGACTTCCTAATTTCCAATTTTGATGTCCTATATTTCTTTCTGCTTTATTGTTCTTGCTAATACTTCATGTACTATATTGAGTAGAAGTAGTGAAAGTGAATCTCTTGGCCGGTGCCCCGGCTCACTTGGCTAATCCTCTGCCTGCGGCGCAGGCACCCCGGGTTCTAGTCCCATTTGGGGTGCCGGATTCTGTCCTGGTTGCACCTCTTCCAGTCCAGCTCTCTGCTGTGGCCTGGGAGTGCAGTGGAGGATGGCCCAAGTGCTTGGGCCATGCACCTGCATGGGAGACCAGGAGGAAGCACCTGGCTCCTGGCTTCAGAACGGCACAGCGTGCAGGCTGCAGTGTGTCGGCCATAGCGGCCATTTGGGGAGTGAGCCAACGGAAGGAAGACCTTTCTCTCTGTCTCTCTCTCTCTCTCTCACTGTCTAACTCTGCCTGTCAAAAAAAAAAAAAAAAAAAAGTGATTATCTTTGTCTTGTTCTAGACCTTAGGGGCAATGCTTTCAGCTTTTCCCTGCTCACAATGATATTAGTTGTTGGTTTGCCATTTGTAGCCTTTATAATATAGAGGTATGTTCCTTCTATTCCTAGTTTGTGGATGGTTTTTATCATGAAGGAATGTTGAATGTTTTTTCCCTTTTGTTGTCCTGCTATTAAATATTTTTGTTATTTTTTAAATTAATATAAAGAGAACAGATGTCATGTATCTCATAGATAAAATTCTAACAACATAGCCATACTTCCCTTCCTTTCTCCCACCCTCCCTGCTCCTTCCTCCTTTCTTTCAGAATATTGAATCTTATCAAATCTTCCTCTGCATCTATCGAGATGACCATATGGCTTTTGTTCTCTGTTCTGTTGATGTGATTTATGACACTGCCTTATTTATCGATGCTGAACCACTCTTGCATCTCTGGTATAAGTCCCACTTGATTGTGATGTAAGGTCTTTGTGATTGGTTTTGGAATCAGTTTGCTAGTATTTTGTTGAGAATTTTTCTATGTTCATCAAGGATATAGGTCTGCAGTTTTTTTTTCCTGTGTGTCTGTTCAGTTTTGGTATCAGAGTGTTGCTGGCCTCATAGGAAGAGTTTGATAGAGTTCTGTCCTGTTCAATATTTTACTATTGTTTGAAAAGTACTGGAGTTTGTTCTTTAAATATTTTGTAGAATTCAATAGTAAAGTTGTCAGGT